ACACTCGGTATATATTAAGTGGGGACATACAATGCCTCTCCTTCATAGCATGGCTTGCTTCACTCAGCAGTAAGTTTTCCATATTCATCCACTTCCTGTCAAAAGCCAGGGTTTTGTTGTGTTTTAGTCTACGATGTTCTTTACAGTGAGATACAGATATAAAAAATATTGATTAAAAATCAGGCAATGAACGATCTCATGAATGAACAAAGATAATATAGCCAGTGAAAGAAGAATTTGTCATTTCCATGTAGAGGACTGTAGGAGATAACCATTTATAATCTGAAAAAAATCTGTGAGTATCAATCATTGGTCCAGTTAGAGATAGGTATAATTGTTCATTAGGAAGAGAGAGAAAAAGAACACTTTCACTCACACACGGAGTTCTTGTAAGACCATAGTACTGTACTGTGCATAAAGAAATAAGTCCTCAAAAAAGCAAAGATGAAACAAATTCGGAAAGAGATGTTTAAAAGTGAAGACATGGTAAAGTCATGATTTGGTGATTTATAGAAATTACAGAGCTCTTGATTTTAGCCTTTAAAAAATTCATTCCAAAGAAAAATTCAGTTACTTGTAACATTTTAGGCTTTTTCTCTATCATCTAGTTTTATACAATGAGCAATGGTTATAATAAATACATAAATAAAGACCTGTGGAGACAACTCTCAGACAATTGGCGAATTTGTATTTAAACCTGCTCGTGTATAAAATAGTTGAATCTGCATTCAGTGTTATTAAATATGTGTGGACTTACCCTTTTTTCCTAGTTGCTTTGTGTTCTGTTACTTCTATTTGTCTCCCTTTAGCTTTCTTGGTGTAGTAGTCCCTTAAGAATTTCCTGAAGAGCTGGTTTCATTATGGTGAATTCTTTCAGCCTTTGTTTATCTGGGAATGACTTTATTTCTCTTTTCCATTTGAAAGATAATCTTGCTGGGTATAGTACTCTTGGCTGAAATTGCTTTTCTTTCAGAGTTTTAAATATGTCTTCCTATTCTTCTCTTGCCTGCATTGTTTCAGTTGAGATATATGGTGTTAGTCTAATGGGGTAACCTTTGTAAGTAACCTGACATTTCTCTCTTGCCATTTTTAAAACATTGTTTTTGTCTTTGATTTTCGCCAGTTTGTCTATGATCTGCCTTGGAGAGATCTTCTTGTATCTATTTGGTGTCCTTTGTATCTCCTCGATTTGGATGCCCACATACCTCTCTAAATTTGGAAAGTTTTCTTCTAATATATTATGAGATATATTTTCTTTTTAAAAATTTTTTTCTTTTTTTTTTTTTACTATAGGACACATGTGCTCGCCAGCAA